CTTTTTTCTTTTTCTTTTTAAAGGTTTTATTTATTTATTTGAGAGAGAGAGAGAATGAGAGAGAGAGAAAGCACATGAGAGGGGGGAGGGCCAGAGGGAGAAGCAGACTCCCTGCCAAGCAGGGAGCCCGATGCGGGACTCGATTCAGGGACTCCAAGATCGTGACCTGAGCTAAAGGCAGTCGCTTAACCAACTGAGCCACCCAGGCGCCCTGGGCCTCAGTTTTCTTAACTGTGAAATAAGAATTAAAAGTACCAACCACACAGGACTGTTGAGAGAATTTAACATAATTACGTAGACAGGGTACTTAGCTCAGGCCTGACTAAGGCATAGAGTAAGCACTCTATGAAAGCTAACTACTAGTATTGTCAGCTGGACACTCAGAACAGCCCCCACTATGCCCTCTCTGCCTCCATTCTAGCCCCTCCCGTCTATCCTCTCCAACTCAGCCAGTGTCAGGCCCCGTCTGAAGCTTGTCAGTGACACCTACAGCTTCTTTCCCCAGAGTGTGGGTCTTGGTCCATCTAAAACACTCATCAAGTTCGGCTTTCTGGGATCTCCCTCCAGTGTCCCAAGGGATCCTGCTGGGACTCATCACTCTTCAAACTAAAATCTACACTTCATAGCCCCTGCCACCTTCTCCAACCTCATACTCCCTACCTCACTGTCCAACCAACCAGAGTGTACATTCCCTGCTGCCCCGAATGCCTCCCCATTTGTAGATGTACAGACCTGGACACTCTTTCTCCCTTTTCCTCCTGACTCCTCTGCCTCCCTATCCCTCAGGAAGGTGATGCCTATTCACTGAATTCTCTCCTTTCCGAAGTAATATCTTGAAGCTCTAACCCCCAGTACCTCAGAATGTGACTATGTTTGGAGATGGGGTCTTTAAAGAGGTAAGTGAGGGGCACCTGGGTGGCTCAGTCAGTTAAGTGTTTGCCTTGGGCTCAGTTCCTGATCCTGGTGTCCTGGGATCAAGCCCCCATCCCTACTCAGCAGGGAGTCTGCTTCTCCCACTTTATCCACCCCTTCCCATGCTTGTGCTCTCTCTCTTGCACACTCTCTCTCTCAGATAAATAAATAAAATCTTTAAAATAAAATAAAATAAAACAAAGAGGTAGGTGAGTTAAAATGAAGTGTTTAGGTTGGGTCCTAACAATCTGACTGATATCCTTATAAGAGGATATCAGGACACAGACATGCACCGAGGAAAGACCACATTAGGACACAGCAAGAAGGTGGCCATCTGTAAGCCAAGAAGAGAAGCCTCAAAAGAAACCAGACGTGCTGACACCTTGATCTCAGACAAGACTTTTTAAAAACTAGCACTGTGGCCTGTCAGCGGGTTATTACATTGATTTCCTGAGTTCAACTATCACTTTTAATACATAGAATGGAACAGAATAGAAAATAGCCAAGTGCATCACAAGGAGTAAAGATATGTATTGTCTTGTCACACTGGTGTTTCCCTTGTGTGCCTGTGTGTGCATTGGACCATAATAAAAATGTCTTTCTTATTAATGCTCATGGGCAAAAAAAAAAAAAAGAAAAGAAAAGAAAAGAAAAGAAAAGAAAAAAAGAAAGTCCCTGTAGTTTCAGCTGGAACAAGTCCTTGCCTGTTCAAATTGCAGAGTGTAAGGCTTTGGTCGAACCAGCTCATCTTATTTTAAACACTTCTATTTTAAAATATCATAAACAAACAAATAGCCTACACAACATAAATGTACAGTTGACTATCATAAAACAAGTACCCAGGTGAGTACCGCTCAGTCAAGAAACTGAACAGCACCACGGACAGCACCCTGATGCTTTCCCCCACGAGCTCCTTCACAATTATGACCATCTTCCTGATTTTTGCGCTATTGACTTCTTTGACTTTCTTTATTTCTAACATTGCATTTCTCTTGGTATACTCCTAGGAGTGGAATTGTTGGCTTATATGGTAACTCTATGTTTAACTGCATGAGGCACTCTTCCTAAGCGGCTGCCCCATTTTACATTTCCCTGAGCAGTGTGTGAGGGTGCCAAATTCCCCACATCCGGACAATGCCTGCCTGCTTTTGTCCCAGTCTATGGGTCATCCTTTCCTGTTTCTTTGCTTGAATTATAGTTTTTGTTGTGGGAAATTGAAGATTTTAATTAATATATTGTAGCAACTCAGTACTAGTCTACCCCTCTGAGGCTTGTTACTGTCATTTGTCTGATTAGTGACTGGCTGGGTTTATTTAGTGAAGGCTGTCTCCCCCCCCCGCCAACTTCCCAGTCTAAATATAAAGCCTCTGTGTTGATCCTCAGGAAGTGCAGCCTTGAATATGCCCACAGTCACCCTGGGATGACAGTGGTTTGGGCAGGGCTCTCCTTGACTGACTCTTTCCCTGGCCACACCTAGCTGTTAAGTTCCACTCAAGGCTAGTTGAGTCCTCTATTGTTCTCAACAATGTCCTGGGACATAAATTGCTCCATAAACTGATCCAATCAAATTTGGTCTCTTTAAAGGAATAGGGTTTGGATCCCCAAATCTACCTGAGGGTTCAATCTTTTCCCAGCCCCCATTCCCACTTACAAGACCCTCAAAGGCAGAGCCCAGCATCTTAGCCCTTCCTTCTTCTCTCCAAATCTCTTAGCCCAGGGAGTTCCTTGTTGTTTTCCTTCAAAATCTTTTCTGAAATAGATACACAAATCTTCTTCCAAACTGTTTATGCCAGCCACTGGTCTTCAGACACTTGAACCCAAGAACTGAAGAAATAAAGGTTGTTTCTTGTTCCTTTCTTTGTTGCCCCCCCCTTTTTTTTGCAAGATCTAGATTGAAGAGAGAGAAGGCAGGGGTTGAACAATACTGCAAATTTTTATCCCACGATAGGTAGGCACTATTATTATTATTCCCATTTTTTAAAGATTTTATTTATTTATTTGAGATAGATAGAGAGAGACCAGGAACAGGGAAGTAGAGGGAGAGGGAGAAGCAGGCTCCCCACTGAGCAGAGAGCCTGATGTGGGACTCCATCCCAGGACCCTGAGATCATGACCCAAGCCGAAGGCAGACACTTAACTGACTGAGCCATCTGGGTGCCCCTTATTATTCCCATTTTATAAATAAGGAACATGAGGTCTAGAGAGATTGAGAAGCTGGAGTTCTTGAGACAGCCGGAAGTCAAGGCTGGAACTTGGGCACTTGTGTCTGTTGATGGTGTCCCAACTCTCCCTTCCTCTCCCCCACCTGGACAATGCTGGGACCAGGCTCACCCCAGGCTTCGAGAGGCCCCCTGTGGTCTGGCCGTGCTCATCATGCAGCTCTGGTCCCTGTGCACTATACCACAGGAGAAATCTCTGCCTCTTGCAGTACCCCTCCCCCCCGGGAATCTCTCTCAATCCTTCCTCCCTGCATTCTGGAATCAGATGGTAGCATTGGGGCTCTGATCAATCCTCAGCTACGTGCTTGCATCACTGTGTGACCTGGGGCAAATATCTTTTCCCCTATTCCCCAACCCTCAGTTTCCTCCTCTGTAAACTGGAGATTCTAATAGTCATTGAGCACGTGTTCACTGAGGGCCTGCTCTGGCAGGCAATGTGCTGGAAGCTGGGAATGCAAAGGGGAGTGAGACTGTCCCACTGTCCCTGTGTCCTATGGTGGCTGTGCGTACCTGGCATGGAGGTGGGCACACAGCAGGCATTCAGGGATGGGAGCTCTCCTGTGGTGTAGGATTTGTATGATCTGCTGCTGACAGCCCAGCAGTCCAGCCTCCTCAGTGGTGGCCTCTCAGGGAGCCTCTCTTTGCTTAATGAGTGCTTTTGTCCCTAACGGACGTGCTGTTAACTGCCTTCTTGTTTCATCCGGCTGCTGGGGCCCCCAAACAGTTGGCAAAGCAGTTGGTATCATGGACTATTTTTAGGTGGGGGAGTTAGTGGGGTGTGTGGATGTGGTGGGGCCCAGGGGGGTCTAGGAGAAAGGGAGCTTCACAAGCAACAAGATTGGGGGAGAGGAGGAAGGATGCTCTCTCTCAGGAATGTATGGGCAAACTTTCACTTCTCCTTCATGACTGGGACCAAAGGACACCTCCTCTGTACAACCTTCCTTGATTTCCTCAATAAATACTCCAAAGACCCAGTTTAAGGGTCTATCCTCTGGTCTTCCCCCAGCCCTTGGTTATGGCTCCAAACATACCGAGAAATAACGGGCTGTAGGGATCTTATCTGATGCATTTCTGGGTCCCTCCTGCTCTGCACCTCTGATCCCCATCCTGCCATTCTTCATCGTAACAAGGTATAGAAGTTAGGAGTCCAGATTTTGGAGTCACACAGCTGAGATCTGCTCTTGGTCCCTTTCTAGCAAGATAACCACGTCCAAGTTAGGTTTGTACAATTCTGTTTTCTCATCTGTAAAATGGAGGATTATCGTGCCTGCCTCGCAGAAATTAAAGGCCTTATTTTGCTCAAAGCACAGGGCATGGCACCTGGCATAGACTGATAGACTCTTGCAAGCCCAGGCCCAGAAGGAGCTGCGTGCTCCCAAAGGTCTCCATCCCCTTTGTGGCTTCTCAGGTAGTGTGTGCGTGCTAGAGGGAAGGAGGGAGGTGTTCCCGGACACCGCGGGACCCAGAACCGTCCAGAGGTCACCCAGCGAGAAAGTGGCCGAGCTAGGCTGAAGACTGTGAGTCGAGTCAATTGCAGCATTTTCCTCGGCCTCCCTGTTAACGGACACCCCCCTCCTCCGATTCCTCTAGTATTTTCCTTCTCTCTTTCCAGCCCCCTCTTCTCTCCTCTAATTCCGCGGGTTCCCATTTGGGAGGCGGGGTCTCAGACTGGCAGTGGAGAGTCCCAGCCAAAGGTGGGGAAAGGGGCCTCCCGCCCGGTGCGAAGGCTCCGGCTTGCAATGAGGGAGGGGGCGCCCCTGTCTCTGGGACAACCCGGAAGTCCCCAGAAATGAGGGCGGGGTCTGGGGAGCCTGAACCGGGGGAAGAGTCTCAAAGATACCGGGGAGTCCCCGAACCGGCGAAGACTGGCTAGGGAGTTCCTGAGACAGAGGGGTGGGCGGAGCTTCCCAGAGTCTGGGGCGGGGTGAGGGAGGGGGCGTGGTCTCCCCAGAGGGGCAGGGCTCTGTTGACTAAAGTTAAGCCTCGCCGCAAGGGGCGGAGTCTCGGATGGGGCGGGGCTCCTGGGGGCGGGCCCAGCGGGGCGGGGCATCGGGACGGGGGCGGAGTGTGGCGGTTCGCGTTCGCCCCCTCTCCCGGCCCCGGGTGTCCCCGTGACGAGGCAGAGCGGAGCCGCCGTGGGTCGGGCCCATCCCGCCGCAGCGGCCCCGGGGCCGAGCAGGGGCGAGGCGCGAAGGGAGCGGCGCGGAGCGGGACCGGGAGCGCGGCCAGGTGAGACCGCCGGGGCGGAGGGGGCGGGGGCTGCGCCGGGCGGGCCTCGGCGGGCGCGGGGGGCGTGTTTGCGTGTCTGGGGGTGGCAGGGGGAGTGGGTCCCAGGGCGGGCGCGGGGGGCTGCTTGCGCGCTCTCGGGTCCCGGGTGGGCTTGGCGTCCGTCCGGGCACTGCCCGCGGGGCTCGGGCTGTGCGGGACTGTGTGCGTGCGCGCGCGTGTTTGTGGCGAGGGGCCGCCGGGTGTGTATCTGCGTATGCGCTGGGCCGTCATTGTGCCTGCCCCGGGCGCGGGGCGCTGGCCTGCCCCGGCGCAGTCCCTCTTGCGCGGGGATGTTTTCCAAACAGGCTTCCTGCGGAGACGGGCTCTGCTGCAGCCCCAGCCGGAGGGGGGAGCGCCGCCCCCACAGGCCTCCAGAGACCCGGGCGGCCCTGGGACTGCAGACAGACACCTGGGGGAGGGAGGGGGCGCGCAACCGGGAGGGGTCTAGAGGCCTGCCCGCCGGGTGAGGCCAAGGTAGGGAGACTGAGGCAGATGTATGGGGAAAGGAATGTGGCCAGACAGACGGAGATGGGGAGGAGGGTGGGAAGAGAGACGGCGAAAAGGACAGCCCAGGAGGACAGAGAGTCATTGAGGAAAAAAGACAGACAGACAGAGGCCTAGACCTGCAAAGGGGCTGAATGATTAAGATGGATAGATTCCCAAAACCCGACAGAAGGGTTACTCAGAGGCACCAGGGCCAAGAGCCAAATCCGGGAACTGAGTCTAAGATGAGGAATAAGGGTCCTCTCTAACTCTTGAGGTGTCCCCCTTCCAAGCAGATCCCAGACTGGTGTCCTGGCCAGAAAGAAGCCTCTGGCCACCCCATGTGGGTCCACCGGCTGGCCCCACCAAACATCCTGACCCTCTGAATGTGGGGCCCTCTCCTCTTGGTTCCATCCCACCCATTTCCTTTCCCTGGTATCCCAGCAACCCCGGGACAGTTTAAAGGAGGCAGAGGTGGAGCAGTTGCCATAGCAACAGAGGTGGTGAAAGGTCACTTTGGCCTCAGCCTAAGTGGCCCTGCAGCAGGCCTGAGCTGGCGTTGAGGGGGTTGGGATGGGAGGTTGCAAAATTCTTTTTCTCCTCTCCCACTCTGCCCAGAATGGTGCTAGAAGGAAACCCTGAAGTGGGGTCTCCCCGAACCTCAGATCTCCGGCATCCAGGGAGCCAGGGCTCTTGTGTCCTCTCTTCTGGTGAAGATGCACAGCCAGGCGAGGAGCCCATCAAGTATGGCGAACTCATAGTCCTGGGGTGAGTGACCCTGGTCCAGGTGGGGCAGGGCACCAGGCACCCCCAGGGCAACCAGAGCAAGGGCCCCAGCTCTCCCCACGTATGACCTTCTGCTGTTTGTCCCGTCTCACCTTCCCAACTGAGAGACAGAATTGACCAAACCCACCTCAATTCCTGTTATTTTATTTTCCCATTTTTTATAAATTGCTGAGAAAACTAACTGCCCACCTAAGTTTCTGATCAGAAAAAAAGTAGCACCATCTGTCTTTCATAAAGCACCTAGTGTATGTAGTCTGGGGTGAAGAACTCTGGTTCTCCAGCAAAAATGCTTGGCTCAAATCCTGCCTCTGCAAGTTGCTTAACTTCCCTGTGCCTCCATTTTCCCATCTTACAAATAGGGACAATAATAATACCTTAGAGGGTTGTCAGAGGAATGAATGAGGTGATTTCTGTAAAGCACGTAGGACAGTGCCTGGCACATATCAAGTGTTCTGGGAGGCAGGCTTGTGCCAAGCCCTTTCATGGACATTATTTCATTTCAATCTTCACAAAGATGCTGTGAGGAAGGAGGTGAGGAAACCGAGGCTCAGAGAGGGGAAGTGACTGGTCCAAGGGCACACAGCTGGTAAGTGGCAGGGCTGGGATTTGGACCTAGGTCTTTCTTACTCTAGGTCTAGTGCACTTTGACTAACCCGCAGCTGACTCTCATGCTACAGATGAGAAACCTGGGGCCAGAAGAGGGGAAGTGATGTGAGTTGGTGGCTAGACCTCATCCCTTCCTGGTCTCCACCTGACCAGGATTCTTGCATCACCCAGTAGCACTGCCCCCAGGCACAGATCCCTCTTCTTATTCCCCCATCCACAGCTCCTTTTGGCCTCTCTCTCTGCCATCTGCCCGGAAGAAGATATTTGATAAGCTATGCTATGATTATGATTATTTAGAAATAATAATGGCCACTGTTTGCTGACATGTACATACCATGTGCTTTTTCCTAATAAGTTAACGTTTATCAAGGGCTTGCTATATATATATGTCAAGCCCTGTGCCAAGCATTTTTAAATGTTTTATCTCATTTAGTTCTCACGATGAACCTGCGAGGTAGGTCCTGATTAATTAGCACCATTTTACAGAGGTCATGTGATAAGTGGAAGAGCCGGGATTTAAGCCAGGCCCATCTGAGCCCCGAGCCTGTGTCTGGAACTGCCCCACACCCTATAAGTGGGAAGAACTTCCAAGGGCAAAAGTGATTTGCCCCTCTCAGGGCTGCTCGCAGGAGAAAAACAGCTGCTTGGGGTCCCAAAGGAAGGGCAGACTTTCCAGCTGAGGGCAAGGCCACCGATGAGGGAAAGTGCAGACCTAAGGGTGGAGGCCCTCTTGGCAGCTGTTTTTTCTCAGTAGAGCAGTGAAGCCCCACACTGGCTACAGAGCCACCTGGAGAGCATATTGAAAAGACCCACTGACAGTCCCATCCCCAACCTACAGAATCCAAATCTCCATGGGTGGAGCCAGGGAATCTACATTTTAACAAGCTCACGAGAAAACACTGATTCAAGTGGTCTTTGTCTGTATTTGGCAGACTCATCCTGCTACTCCCTGCTCCAGAACCTTCCGTGGCTCCCTAGTCTCGCAGAATAAAGTCCAGACTCCTAAGCTTGGTGTTTAGGACCCTTCCACTAGCTTCATCTGCCTCTACTTAAGCTCACACCCAAGTCACCACTCCCTGATCTCACCAAACCCTGCCAGCCTCAGGCCCTTCGCTTGGGGTGAGCCTTCCCTCTGGAAGGGCTTCTGCAAGAGAGGCCGGAGTCAGACAGACCTGAGTTCAAATCTCTGACTTTTTCACTTACTAGCCTGGGACCTCGGGCAGGTCATTTTACCTCCCTGAGCCTCAATTTTCCTCATCTGTAAAATGGGAAGAAAGATACTTGCCTGGCAGGACATTGCATGGATTCCATTAGGTAATTAATAACGTGAAGCACCAGGAACACGGGAGGCTCCAGTACATGGCAGTGATTAAGGCTGTGACTCACCCCATCTTTGCCTTCCACAGTCAGTCCCTCCGGATAAAAGCTGGAAGGAAGGTAGAAATTTGACATGTATGGATATGTGGAGGTGGTGGCATTGTGGGTCTGTTTTTTCTTTCATTCTGGTTTCCATTCGTACTTGTGGTGTCGTAAATGACAGTGTGCTGTAAAGGTGAATCCTTTCCAGTTCTTCAAGGCCTAGTAAATGTGTTACCCCTCTCAGAAACGTGATCTGAGCATTCCTTTCTCCTGCCTCTGGGCCTGTGGTGCAGTTGGTGCTCAGCTTCCTTGAAAATCTCAGGACACCCCTTCTCTGCCACTGAGGGAACAGAACTGACCTGCGGTGTGCCCTCTGTGGCACCCCAGAGCCCAGCAGCTGACCAGTCAGGTGTCCAGGAAACACTGGATAATTGAATGAAAGGCCTTTTGAAGATATTCTGCCCCTCACCCTACTCCCCAAGCACACTGATTTGATAGCGTAGGGTCTCCTAGTTTCAGGTGGTTGTAGGGCTTGTTTATGAAGGGAAACTCTGCCCAGAAGTTGGCAGTTCCTCCAAATCTCTCAGGGGCTCACTTTCTCTCTCTCTCTCTCTTTCTCCCTGCAACCCCTTCTTTTTAAACCCCTACATCCACAGCTACAATGGGTGTCTGGCAAGTGGGGACAAGGGCCGCCGGAGAAGCCGCCTGGCGCTGAGCCGCCGGCCCCATGCTAATGGCGTGAAGCCCGACGTCATGCACCATATCTCCACACCGCTCGTATCCAAGGCAAGCAGCTTGTCCCAGCGGACCTGGACAGAGGTCCTGCGCTCCCTGCCCAAGTCCCAGGTCTTCGGCCTTCCCGGTCCTACCCACCCACGGCCCCACCGGAACAGGGGAGCCCACCGTGTCCTCACTCACTGCCTTGGGCTGCCAGAGAAATGGTGCCGAGGGGAGATCCCTTGTAATGTACTATGCGTCACAGTTTGCAGAATGTTTCTTTGATGACCAGACCCCAGCCACTGAATGGAAATGATCAGCATTATTTCGAGGCAGCCACGGCTCAGAGAAGGGACGTGACAATCACACAGCAATGACAAAGGAAAAGCCTTTGGCTTCAGAGGACTTGGGTTGAGATACAGGCTCTCCTGTGTCCAGCTCTGTGTCTTTAGGCCAGTTTCTTCTCCCCTCTGAGCTGCGGTTCCCTCCACTGTAAAATGGGCATGATAACAATGTCTCCTCCTTGGGGTGGATATAGGGGTCAAATAAGGTAACCTGCGTATAGTGCCGGCTGCACAGTACATTCTCGGCAAGGGTGGAGCTATCTCTTCGCTGGGCTTGGCCAGTGGGCCTTGGGTTCCAGCCTCTGGCTCCGAGGCTCACACTTCTCCTGGCCACATGCCCTGGGAAGTGACTTCTCCTTTCTCCCCACCAGGCACTGAGTAACCGCGGCCAGCACAGCATCTCGTACACACTGTCCCGGAGCCACTCGGTCATCGTCGAGTACACACATGACAGTGACACGGACATGTTCCAGGTATGGCTCAGGGCTCTCTGTACGCCTCTTGGCCACTGGGCCACCAGGCCTCGATGTGCAGCTCTGCAGGCATTCCAGGGTGAACCTGGAAGACTGAAGGCCGTGGTGAAGTTGCTTTGGGGGCATTCAGTGTAATCAACTACACTCCAGGTGAAGAAGTGGGATGTCCAAGGAAGGCTGTTGACTTCCTGGAGTCACACAGCAAATCAGTGGCTACATCAACATTTAAAACCCAGGACCAGACACCCAGGCCACGGGAGGCCATGCAGCTTAGGGTTTCAGAGTGTGGCATGAGAGTCATACTGCCTGGGTCAGATCCCAGCTCCATCACCTACCAGCTTGGTGACTTTGGGCAAGAGTCACTTAATGTACTCGCTCTGGGCCTCAGTTTCCTCATCTGTACAGTGGGGCCGATAACATACCCACTCCATGGAATTATCGGGTAGATTAGCAGAGATATTATACATGCAGTGCTTGGCATGGTATCTGGTACATACAAAAAATTTGCTATTTGCTGCTAATGTTTGGGCACTCCCAGACTGGGTGTCACCTTTTCACTGGTCTATCAAATAAATCAACTCATTTTTATTGAGTGGGGGAGACAGAGAAGCCCCCAGACCCCAGTGACTGGATTTGGAGACTCCAGCTGAGAGCCCAGAGGGCTCCTCCTCATTGTTTGGTGACCCTGCAAGCAGAGCAGCTGCTGGGAACCCGCTGGGAGGGTTGGGAAGCCCATGGGATTGGTCTGCACACATGGCATCCCTGTACTTGCTCTCCCCTTCCTCACAGATCGGTCGCTCCACGGAGAACATGATCGACTTTGTGGTAACAGACACATCCCCCGGAGGAGGGGCTGCCGAGGGCCCCTCAGCCCAGAGCACCATCTCCCGCTATGCCTGCCGCATCCTCTGTGACCGCAGGCCGCCCTACATTGCCCGCATCTATGCTGCTGGCTTCGACGCCTCCAGCAACATCTTCCTTGGAGTGAGTGAGCCCACCCCCAGGCAGGGACCAGCACCTCAGCTGAGAGTGAGCAGAGGGCTAGGGTAGGGAGGGGCAGCGCCCTGCAGTCATCCTAACCATGACCTGGGCTGGCATTAGCGATGCCACTTAAAAAATGAGCACCGTCAGGCTCCGAGAGTTCAGGTGATGCCCATGGCCATGCAGCGTCCATTCCAGTCCTCTCTGGGCCACCTCTGACCATGAGGGTAAAGGGGCAGCATCCCTAGCTCACAGCCTGCCAGGGGCCACTCGGGGATATGATCTGATCCCACATGTGGTCCCAGGAGCGGGCGGCCAAGTGGCGGACCCCCGACGGCCTGATGGACGGCTTAACCACCAATGGGGTCCTGGTGATGCACCCAGCAGGCGGCTTCTCTGAGGACTCGGCCCCTGGTGTCTGGAGGGAGATATCGGTCTGTGGGAACGTGTACACTCTGAGGGACAGCCGCTCTGCACAGCAGCGAGGGAAGCTGGTAGGTGGCCTGCTCCATGCCCACCCCCTCCCCTCATCCCTCCCGGGCCCTTGCCCCTGATCTCCTGCCCTCCTACACAAGGGAGCCCCAACAGGCTCCGTCTGGGGGCCATGCACCACTTGCCCCACAGAGAGGGCCAGACCATAGTCCCCAAAACATAGCCCACATACTGCTGGAGGTCCGTGGGGTGGTGTGTGGTAGAGCAGACATAAACACTGAGGTACCAAGTGACTTTAGGGATGCCGGCAGCTGAAAAAAATCACAGCCTCTTACGAGGATGACACTTGGCCCATGTGTGAGCAGTTTATAGCCTAAAGTGTTGACGGTCCGTAACGTGTCTTTCACGTTCAGACGGATTTAGCCTTATTATCCTTGCCTAGCGGGGAAGGGCCCTTGGAGGAGCTCTGACAGAGGTGACAGTGAAGGCTCCGCATGGCACAGATCAGAGAACCAAGGTTCGGAGCCAGGAGAGAGTCCTAGAGAAACGTCGGGGCCAGCCCAAGGTCATGTGGCCAGGCTGCTCAAATGGGCCAATGCAGAGCCCTTCCAGCGTAGGAGCACATGGGGCCAGTGGAGGCGAGATCTCAGGGAAGAGCACGCCTTTTCTCTCCAGAGCATCCATCGATTCTACCGGGAGAGTTGGGGAAACGTTATTTTTAAAAGCTATGCCTGTGAATTTCACTAGCATCCACTTGTGGAGTATCTACTATGTTCCAGGTTCCGTTCCAAGCATTGGCAATGGTTGATTCATGAGAACCACCTGAGATAATGGGAAGCATGGGAAGTAGCATCCATCCTGAGGACAAGGAAATTAAGACACAGAGAGGTTGAGTTACTCGACCAGGGATGCAGAGTTAGTCAGCAGTGAAGCCAGAATTCACACCCAGGCAGGCTAGCTCTAGAGTCCTGCTTTTAACCACAGCCATGAGGACAGCTGCTGTGGGCCGAGTCCCCAGTGTTTCAGATAGAAGAGTTTCCCACTTGTGCCCTTAGAGGAGAGCCTGGGGAAAACCTCATTTTGGTCCAGATCTCCTGATTTGACAGATGAAGTGACCAAGGCCCACGTCCCACTGTGAGGGAGAGCGCATGCCTGGGAGCATTGACTTGCCCTCCCACGTGGCTTCTCAGCCCTCCTGGCTCCTCTGCCTCCGTCCTCACTCCTCCTCTGCCCCGGCCCTCCGCTCTCCTCTGCCCTAGCCCCCTGTCCAGGGTGTTCTCTCCAGGGAGGTTTGGTAGGATGGACAGGTGGCTTGGCTGGGGTGATGGCTGCCCAACGGCCAGGGCTTTGGTGTCCTCTTGAGCGGTAAGGCCCTTCTGCTGTCTCTGGCAGGTGGAAAACGAGTCCAATGTGCTGCAGGACGGCTCCCTCATTGACCTGTGTGGGGCCACTCTGCTGTGGCGCACACCAGCGGGGCTGCTGAGGGCACCCACGCTGAAGCAGCTGGAGGCCCAGCGGCAGGAGGCGAACGCGGCCCGGCCCCAGTGCCCTGTGGGCCTCAGCACCCTGGCCTTCCCCAGTCCGGCCCGGGGCCGCACAGCGCCTGACAAGCAGCAACCCTGGGTCTACGTCCGGTGTGGCCACGTCCACGGCTACCACGGCTGGGGCTGCAGGAGAGAGCGGGGCCCCCAGGAGCGAGAGTGTCCTCTCTGTCGCCTCGTGGGGCCCTATGTCCCCCTGTGGCTTGGCCAGGAGGCCGGCCTCTGTCTGGACCCTGGGCCACCCAGCCATGCCTTTGCACCCTGCGGCCACGTCTGTTCTGAGAAGACTGCCCGCTACTGGGCCCAGACACCACTGCCCCATGGCACCCACGCTTTCCATGCTGCCTGCCCCTTTTGTGGGGCCTGGCTCACCGGCGAGCATGGCTGCGTCCGCCTCATTTTCCAGGGACCGCTGGACTAGGCTCCCCCAGGCCCCGGCTGCCCACCTGCCCACCTAGGTCCCCCACCTCCTGCAGCCCAGGGGAGCTCTGCATGTGGGACTCTACCCGCGGGTGCATAGCCACACCAGATGGACGTGTTGGACGGGCTGTGCTCCTCCCCTCTTAACTCTGGTCCCTGAAACCCCTACCCCAGTCAAAATGACGGGGCCCTCAGCACCAGCTCTGTCCTGGGCTGATGGAGGGAAGCCCACCCCTATGCCCTGGCCCTTCCTGGGGTGTCCCACATCATGCCGCCTACACTGTGTCCCTGGGGGAGTGAAGGGGCCATGGGTCCCTGACCCCCAGCTTAGGCTGGCTGTGCCCTGAGCCTGCCGACCCAGCTCCAGATATTCACCCTGCTGCTGCCCTGGGTTCCTCTATAAACCTTGCTGCTCAGCTGCCCTCACAAATCCCACGTGTCCAGCATGCGTGCAGTGCCGCCAGCCCCTGCATGAGTGACGGGTGGGCAGCAGGCTGGGGCCGGCATCTGCTGATACCCACTATGGGCTGGACTCCGTGCCAAGTGGGCTCTGGAAACACAGAGACGATCAGACTTGGTTCCCTGCCCGGTGGAATTCACAGTCTAGCGGACAACAGACCAAATTGCCGGACGACAACACAGTTTCCTGCATACCAGGATCAGAGAGTCATCAAGGGCTGTGGAGCAGGTCTCCCAAGCGGGCGGGAGAATGAGGGGGAGCTCGCGTGGAAACTCCCCACCGAAGGGGATGGCGCTCTGGGCAGGGGGGAGGCTGAGCACAGGCTCAGGTGTGAGGAAGCAGGGACCTGAGTGAGGGGTTGAGCGGCTGGAGCAGAGGCAGTAGTGGGGCAGAAAGAAGGCTGGAGCAAGAGGTTACGGGCTGCGCTGATGGGGAAGATGCTGGATGGAGGCTTTGGAACCTCGCTTGTGGACAGTCAGGAGCGGAGGGAGGAGAGAGGACTAGTGCTCCCAGAGTGCTGGCTGTGTGACAGAAGGGCTACTATTACCAAGTGCCCACAATGCCCTGCGCGGTGCTACTTCTGCTCATAACTACGTTAATGGAGCATGAACCAGGAGGCTTTGCTGTTTAATCCTCATAGTAACCCCGGGGGCAGGGGAGGTGTTACCATTTCTGTTTACGGGAGGATTAAGGCACATGCGCCAAGTCACACAGCTAGAAAGTGGCCAAGCTGGGATTCAAACCTGCGACTGCCTGCCTGGCCTTAGCCTGGCCTCCATTACACCGTGCGGCTTTCCTTGGACGGGGGTGGGAGAATGGGGAGGGCAGCTCAGGTCACCGGAACTGCATGTGCAAACATGTGGCAGGGAACATGCTTGACCGACCAAGGGGCCAGGTTGGAGGGGCAGAAAAGAGACATGGGGGGTGAGGACATTGGGCTGAGGCCTGGTGGCCCTCGGTTGCCATGGAGACCAAGTCCAAACTGGACCCTTACTCATCTTGGCTAAGTGGCACCTCTCCCTGAGAGCCAAGGCAGCCCCAGGGTGCTGCTGGGATTGTTTCAGACCATTCCTGGGGGGAGCAAGCTAGGGAGACCGGCAGATGGAGGTTCTGGAGTATAAAAAATTTCTGAAAAAGAGGCTTCTAAGTACAGGCCTGACCTGGGCATCATCCCCAGTTGAAGACAGCCGCTAGAGTCTTAAGGAGTATAGATTCCAAGGGGAGGGCCTGCTGCAGGTCACACAGGTGGTGGGGGCCACAGAGACCAGACCCAGGGCTCTCAAGAGGACAGAGGGCTCATGTGGGTGGTGAACAGGGGATGTGATGAGATTCCTGCTCCCGGAGCATCACATGCCACAGTGGGGGAGCCAACATGGGGATGCGTGATCAGGCAGATGTGAGAATACTGCATCCCCTACACACGTACACACATACCACTGGGAATCCAGTTCTCTCTTCTGACCCTGTTGGGAGCCAGGTAGGGGATGTTCCGCTTCTGTTTCCAGCAAGGAGAGGAAGGAGGAGAGACAAGCAAAGAGCATGGTACCACCCCAGGGAGAACTTGGAGGTAGTGGTGGAGGGTAAGACAGCCCTGATCTTGGCCCACGTCTGCCCCTTTCCAGCTCTTGGAGCCTCAGTCTCCTCACCTATTAAATGGAATAGCAATTCTTGTATCGCCAGATGGCTATGAATGTACTGAGAGCCCTATAATACAGTACGTATTTAATGTTACTTCCTCACCTACCCTTCCTGCATTTCCATGGGGAAGAACCAAGGCTAGGGATGGTCATGACTCCAGTGAGTAGACTTCGTATGATTATATGCGTGTGTGCGCTGGGGCCAGTGGAGGGGACAGTGTGGTGGAAGGTCTCAGGAGGGCTAGATCCCAGTTCAGGGACACCTGAGGATAGCCTGGGTGTCCTTAGGTAAGTCAATGAACCTATTAACCTCAGTTTCCCCATCTCCTACAATGGGTAAAATGATACCCTATCAGGGTTGTTACAAGAATGAAATATCCTCCATGTCAAGCTGTTAACACAGGACCTCGTGTATTAACTGTGAACATAAAAACGCTGCTTGTTTGAGAATGCCAGGAATACTGGGATCTTTTGCTAGCCTGAGCTACCCATTGATGGCTAGAGAGCACTACCTCCTTTACTGGTGCCCATCTCAAATTCACCCAAGTCAGGGGAGTATACCCATTTTAAAGACAATAAAAATTGAAGCACAGGAAGAAGAGGTGGGACTTTCCTAAGGACACAATTTATTGAGCTCCTCCCTTTGATGATAAACGTCATTGGAGCCCACAGCAGCACTGTTGTGTCAAGCAGGGCTTTGGGCACTTTCATAAATGAGAAACTGGCATCAATGGTGGGCAGATGCGGCTGTGAGCCCAGACACACGTGTGGCAAAGGTAGGGCAAAGAGAGTGTGTGGATTTCAGGTATTCCCTTTCTCCAAACCCTCTGGGCATAACACTAGGGAGCAGACTGCCCAGTCATCAGTTCACTCAGGGCTACAGCATCCTTCGGAGTGGAGACAATTGTTAGCTGGGTTTTCTGGCTGAGGAAGACAGAGAGGTAGTGGCCCACCCAAGGCCACACAGCCAGTAGATGATGGGGGCCTGAATGGACCTTAGATGGCCTGCCTCTGCCCACGCTGACCCAGGCCCCTCTCAGTGGTCCCCACTGAGCCCGGGCCTGGTGCCAGCACTTGAACATGCCATGCCCCACCCAGGTCGTCCTCTTGTGAGTCCATCCAGACGTGCAAAGGTGGGCCTCAGGCCCAGCTCTGTCCTGGGCAGCCTCTTGGGGTCACAGGCAGCTCTCCCTTCCATCAGGTATCGGGCAAGCACCAACCAACTCCAGGCCCCTCGCCCCTTTGTGCTGATGAAACTGAGGCTCAGAGATGTTTGGCGGCTGCCTTCCAAGCCCCGGCGAATCGATGGCGGTGCGGTGGAGCACTTGTCCCCGCACGGGTGTGATGGCCTCAGCTCAGGCCCGGCAGCTGGCCTTGTAGGTTCGCAGTGTCCTAAGAGTCTCCACCCCTAACCCTCGAATCCAGTGAGGGAGAGGGAGTCACATCACTTCCAGAGCGCAGGTTCCCACCTGCAAAACTGAAGTCCGGGGACCCAAAGGAGAGCGGCGCTGGGGCTCTGTGGGGAAGTCCCTGCCGCTCCGTACCTGACACCCATGCCGCCCCGCCCGGACTCGAAGGGACCTTGTCAGCCCGGTCGGCCGGGACTGGGCCGCGCCCAGGCCGGCCACTCAGTTTTCCGGCCGCCGAGCCTGCACCCTCGCTGACAAAGACCAAGGCCGCAGGGGCCGTCCCGCCGGCGACCCAGTAGGGCCCGGGAGCCGGGAGCCGCGGGCCGGCGGAGCGCGCCGAGGTGCGCCTATTGGCTGGAGCTGACGCCCATCTGGGCCCCGAAGCCCGGCGATTGGCCGCGGGGGGCGGAGTTCGTGGAGCCCCAATGAATGGGGGAGCCGGAAGCAGGAAGTGAGTTTGCGATGAGAGCAGCTGCTGCAGGTGAGGAGCGGCGCCCGGGTTTCGGGGTCACAATGCGTCATCCTCGGGGGACAGGGCGAGTCTGGACCGAACGCAAGATTTTTCCCTTTCTGCCTTTCATCCAGTACCCCTTCCACATTCATCGCGGCCCCGAGGCCAAGGAACCCCCCCCCACCCCGGGCAGCAAAGAGTTAACCCCGAGGGTTGTGTTATTGGGGCGGAGCATCCGGAGTGGTGGGGGAGGCTGGACACTCATTCCGGTTAAGGGAGGGTGGTGTGGAAAATGCGCTGGGTTGGGAGATCCCGGGTCCCAGCGGAACTGTGAGACTTCGGTAAGTTTCGTGGCCTCTCTAAGCCTCAGTCTGTCTGTAAAATGAGTTTTCTTCCAGCTCCGAACTAATGTGGCTCTGTAGCTCCCCTGGCGAAGCACAGGGAGACGGTAGGAGGATGGAGGGCCAAAGGAAAGGCATTTAGAAGGATGAGAGTGAGACAGATTGCACACCCTCCTGGTGAGGTTGACATTATCACCCCCGTTTTACAGAGGTGGAAACTGAGGCACAGAAAAGTGAAACAACTGACTTGGTTTTAGGAGTCTAGGGTTGAACCAGGTTCGGAACCTGGGTCTTCCAGCTGGTAGCCTGGAACTCTATCCTTGTGAACACAGTGGTGGGTGGAATTGAAGAACTTACAGAATTCCGAAGAGGAGGCTAGGAAGTCAGAGAAGGAGAAGGGGAGCCTGAAGGGCCTGGGCTGGGAGTCTAGAGATGCAGGTCTCTGCTTCTGACCTCTGCCTTGTGTTAGTAGGCAAAGCTCCTAGCCTGTCTGGGACTCAGTTTCCCTGTCTGTAATACTAGGTAGTTGAATTCAGTCTTTAAGGTTGAGGGGCCCCAGGCCAAATATGACCCACCAGTGCATTTTGTCATATCTTCGCATGAGTCACCTAACCTCTGAGCCTCAGTTAGCATATCTGTGAATGGGTTTGGGGGAGGATTAAATGAGACCATGAGAGTGCTTAGCTAGGTGTGTAGTTGGTGTGTGGAAAATGATGGTTGTGATGATGGTGATGGTTCTCAGCAGGGCCCATGGCGGACGCCCAGTACATCCTGCCCAATGACATCGGTGTGTTTAGCCTGGACTGCCGGGAGGCCTTCCGCCTGCTGTCGCCCACAGAGCGCCTCTATGCCCACCATCTGTCACGGGCCGCCTGGTATGGAGGCCTGGCTGTGCTGTTGCAGACCTCCCCTGAGGCCCCCTACATCTACGCGCTGCTCAGCCGCCTCTTCCGTGCCCAGGACCCCGACCAGCTGCGCCAGCATGCCCTGGCTGAGGGCCTTACCGAGGAGGAGTATCAGGTCAGTTCTTTTAGGTCATCCGGCATTTCCTGAGTGGCTTCTGGGTATGAGGGACCACGAACACAGGTACAAGGGTCTTTCTCTATAGATTAGACCAAGGGCTACAAATACAGGAACCTCTCCTGGAGCCTCAGCCTTCTCATCTAGAAAATGTGCATGAGGGTCTGTACCTCCTAGGGTTGCAGTGACCTGACTCTAAGATAAATAGTGGCCGCTGTGAGTAAAGGAAACAGCTATGGACACTCAGAGATGGTAGAGGAGTGAGTCCAGGGTAGGAATCAGGAGGTCTGAGATCCGGACCAGATCTTCCTCTGCCGTGTTGTGGGTCCCTGCCTGTCCCCTGGCTTTTGTTTGTTTGTGGGTCTGTTGGCCAAGTAATACCTAGATGTGTTTGTAGTGCATTGCTGCAATGCAGAAAGACACAAAACGAAACACAAACGTCACCCATTGGATGGTGGGGTGTACAGCCTTTTGAGTCCTCTGTCTGTGTATTGCATTCCTACACAGGTACATGCACACGTGCACTGGTTCCTCATTTTGTCTTTTATGTAAATGAGATCATGCTCTCCATGTTCTTAGGAGTCCTGCTTTTTTCTTTCCCTTTTTTTTTTTTTTTAATTGAACACCATGTCTTGGAGAACTCACATGGGGTACACATAAATCCAGTTCATCCTTTTTGTTGACCGTGAAGCACTCCACTGCAGTGTATACCATAATCAATTTAATCTTTTCCTTATTGTTGGACATTTGGATTGTTCTTGATTCTTCCTAGAAATAGTGCCACAGTGAGCATACTTGTGCCCCTGTGTGAGTAGGATCTATTTCTGGAAGTAGCATTGCTGGATCAAAGGCTCTGTACGTTTACAAGTGATTGATGTTGTTAAACCATCTTTTACAAAAGTTTCACCAAGAATGTATGAGAAAATGGCCTGTGTTTCTACATGTAAAATAAAGGGATTGGATTGCTTATCTCTGAGCTGAGGCCCAGGCTGTTTCTTCGCCCTTTCTTTAACTTAGTAATCACATCCCATTTCTAGACCTTGACTTACTCATTAAAAGAGTTAATAGCTGGGGAAAGTGAAACCTAAGTATTACTGTTCTCAGTGGGATACTTTTGCTTGCAAATAGCAGAAATCCATCTCAAATTGGCTTAAGTGAAAATGAAAATCATGACTTCCAGTTTCCAGGCCAGCATGTAAGCAGCTTATAAGTCACCAGTCTATCCAAGCAAGTAAAATGTGGAACAAACTGGAAAAATCAATAACTTTTCTTATGTCCTTAAGAGAAGTGAGGGCACAAGGCCAACTGTTGCCCCCAAATTGGAGAGACAGACAGGTGGGTACAGAGAACCACGACTCACCAGCGTAAAACTTCATGAGCAGGAGCCTCCCCCAGAACCGGTAGTGCAGTTGGAAAACCTGAACTGTGATTGACAAATCACTGGAGGCTCCGTGTGGACAGCTCCGAGAGTTAAAAACTCCAGGAGGACCCATGCAGAGGAGGGGCCTGCACACTTTTGGGAATTTGGGGAATTTTACCTCCAGGATCTTGGTCCTCACAGTGAATCTCAGAGAAAAAGCCCCTTGTGCTTCTGGCAGGGGGAGGGGAAAGGGAATCATTTTTGAATAAATGCCAGAACATTCTGTTCTTCACAGTTTGCTCTCAGGAGAAACTGTATCTCTAGAACCTAGCCTGCTAGGGTTTTATCAGAGCCTAACTGACCTGAGTGGAGGAAAATATCCCATTCCAGACGGTTCTCGTCATCCTGTCCACCTAAAGGGGAAGGTGAGGACACGGGACTGAGAAGCACATGTAAAGTTCAGTGAGGTAAAAGCTCACTGAAAGACTGCTGAGACCTCATTGTGGGACTGGAGAATGCTTCTGCTCCCACACCTTACCATCGCATTACTAAAGGCCTGTTTGCAGCGGTTCCTTTTACCCAGTGCATCGTATCTGGCTGTCAAGAAAAAAATTACAAAACATACTAAAGGCAAAAAACGCAGTTCGAAGAGACAGAGAAAGCACCAGAAGCAGATTGCGACATGGCAGGGATGTTGGACTTATCAGACCAGGAGTTAAAACTATGGCTGATATGCTGAGAGCGCTAATGGATAAAGCAGACAACATGCAAGAACAGATGGGCAGAGAAATGGAAATCCTAAGAAAGAACCCAAACCGCTAGAAGTCGGAAGACAGAAATGAAGAATGCCTTTGCTGGGCTTATTAATAGTCTCTATTAGTAGACTTGACACAGCTGAGGAACGACTCACTGAGCTTGAGGATATCTCAGTAGAAATCTTCAAAACTGACCAGCAGAGAGAAAAGACTGAAAAACACAGAACAGAGTATCTAAGAACTGTAGAGCAACTACAGGAGGTATAACATATATGTAATGGGAATACCAGAAGAGGAAGAAAGAGAAAACAAAGAAATATCTGAAACAATAATGATTGAGAATTTCCCCAAATTAATGTCATATAGTAAACCATGGATCCATGAAGCTCAGTGAACACTAAGTGGAATATTAAATGCCCCAAAAAGCTACATATTGTCAAACTACAGAAAATCAAAGTAAAAGTCCTAGAAGAAGAAGCTGGAGGAAAAATGGATCTTACCTTTAGAGGAGCAAAGATAAGAATTGCATCCAACTCTTCAAAAACCACACAAGCAAGAAGGGAGTAGATTGAAGTATTTGAAGTGTTAATACAAAAAGCCACCAGCCTACGATTCTGTACCTTGTGAGATTATCCTTCAAAAGTGAAGGAAAAACAGATTTTGTCAGACAAACAAAAGTTGAGGTCATGTGTTGCCGGTGGACCTGCTTTGCAAGAAAGGTTAAAAGTTCTTCAGGGAAAAGAAGAATGATAGAGGTCTGAAACTCAAATCTACGTAAGAAAGGGAGTGCATTGGAGAAGGAAAAAGTGAAGGTAAAATAATTCTTAATCTAAGAGATAACCATTTGTTCAAAATAATAGGAACAGTGTATTTGATTATGTATGCTTATGTTTACATTATATGTAATTTACATATTTATACATATATTAAACTTATGTGTGCTTTTATATAGGTGAAATAAATGACAGCAGTGATGCAAGGGAGAGGAGACAGGAATTAGAATTACTTTGTTATTATAAGGTTATCATAAGGTACTTTGTTATAAGGTATCATGCTATCCATGGGGCAGTATAGTGTTATATGAAAGTGGACTTGGATTAGTTATAAAGGCGTATTGCAAAATCTAGGACAACACTAAAAAGTAAAAAAGTATAACTGATAAGCTAAGAAAGGAGAGGAAATGGACTCATGTAAAAGGCTCAGTTAAAACTACAAAAGACAGAAAAAGAATGGAAGACGAAAATAGGAACAAAGAAGGACAACAAATAGAAAACAGCAACAAATATGGCAGATACTAATCCAACCATATCAGTGATCACTGTGAATGACAGTGGTCTAAATGTACCAGTTAAAAGACAGAGATTGAAAAAAAAAAAAAAAGAAATAAAAGACAGAGATTGGGGCGTCTGGGTGGCTCAGTCGTTAAGCGTCTGCCTTCGGCTCAGGTCATGATCCCAGGGTCCTGGGATCAAGCCCCACATCGGGCTCCCTGCTCCACACGAGGCCTGCTTCTCCCTCTCCCACTACCCCCTCCTTGTGTTCCCTCTCTCGTTGTGTCTCTTTCTGTCAAATAAATAAATAAAATCTTTAAAAGATAAAAAATAAAAGAGATTGTCAGAACGGATCAAAAAACAAGACTGAAATATATCTTGTCTACAAGAAGCCCACTTAAATGGATAGAGAAAGATATACCATGCCAACACTAATCAAAAGAAAGTGGGAGTAATATTAATTTTGCAAACTTCAGAGCCTGGAGAGTTATCAGGGATAAAGAGGGCATTACATAATGATAAAAGGGTCAGTTCTCCAAGAAGACAACAGTCTTTAATGTGTATGTCTAACAGAGTATCAAAATATTTGGGACAAAAACTGATGCAACTACAAAGAGAAATAGATGAATCCACTACTATCGTTGGAGACTTTAACACCCTTCTATCAGATATATTTAGCAGGCAGAAAATCAGTAAGGACATAGTTGAACTCAACAACACCATCAATCAGCTGGGTATCAAGACATCTATAGTCTACTTCAACAACAGCAGAATATGTATTCTCGAGCTTATGTGGACGATCCACCAAGATAGAAACATTCGGATCCATAAAACACACCTTAACAAATTTAAAAGAACGGAAGTAATACAATGTCTGCTCTCAGATCAAAATGGTATTAAATTAGATATCAATAACAGAAAGATAACTGGAAAATCCCCAAATACTTGGAGATTAAACAACACACTTCTAGGAGTGCCTGGGTGGCTCAGACGTTAAGCGTCTGCCTTTGGCTCAGGTTATGATCCCAGGGTCCTGGCATCAAGCCCCGCATCAGGCTCCCTACTCAGCGGGAAGCCTGCTTCTCCCTCTCCCACTCCCCCGTTTGTGTTCCCTCTCTTGCTGTGTCTCTCTCTGTCAAATAAATAAATAAAATCTTTAAAAAAATAAACAACACACTTCTAAATAATACATGGGTCAAAGAAGAAATCTCAAGAGAAATTTAAAAATATTTTTAACTAAGGGGCGCCTGAGTGGCTCAGTCAGTGAAGTGGCAGGCTTTTTTTTTTTTTTTAAGATTTTATTTATTTATTTATTTGACAGAGAGAGAGAGTGAGCACAAGAAGGGGGAGCAGCAGAGGGAGAGGGAGAAGCAGGCTGTCCGCCGAGCAGGGAGCCTGATTTGGGGCTCAATCCCAAGACCCTGGGATCATGACCTGAGCCGAAGGCAAACACTTAACCAACTAAGCCACCCAGGCACCCCCAAGCGGCTGACTCAATCTCAACTCAGGTCTTGATCTTAGGGTTGTGACTTCAAGCCCTGCATTGATGGCCCAGTGTGGAGACTACTTAAAAATATATGTGTTTTTTTCAGGCACGTGAGTGGTGCAGTCAGTTAAGCATCCAACTCTTGGTTTTGGCTCAGGTCAGGATCTCAGGGTTGTGAGATTGAGCCCCATGTTGGGCTCTGGGCTCAGCACAGAATCTGCTTAAGACTCCCTCTCCCTCTCCCTCTGCCTCCCCCACCCCCATGCGCTCTCTCTCTCTCTAAAAAAATCTTTAAGATCTATATATATGCATATATATAGGTATATATTGAACTAAGATGAAAACAAATTACCAAAATTTGTGGGATGCAGCAAAAGCAATGCTTAGAGGAAAGTTTATAGCATTGAAGCATATGTTAGAAAAGAAGAAAGATCTAAAATCAATTGTCTGTTTCCACCTTAGAAAAAAAAACAAAAAGAAGAGCAAATTAAATCCAAAGTAAGCAGAAGAAAAATAATTAGAGCAGAAACCAATAAAATTGCAAATAGGAAATCAGTGGGGAAAATTAATGAAACCAAAAGCTGGTTCTTTGAAAAGATCAGCAAAACTGATGTCTTAGTCCGTTTGGGCTGCTATAACCAAAATACCACTGAGTAGCTTATAAACAGAAATTTATTTCTCATATGAAAGTCCAAGTTCAGGGTGCCGGCTCGGTCAAGTTTTGATGAAAGCCCTCTTCCAATTTGCACACTGCTGACTTCACTGTGTCCTATCATGGTGGAATGGATGAACTAGCTCTCTGGTGTCTCTTATAAGGGCACTAATCCCAATGATGAGGGCTCTTGCCCTCATGACCTAACCACCTCCCAAGGGCCCCACCTTCTAATACCATCACTTTGGGGGTTAGAGTTCAATGTATGAATTGGGATGGGGGACACAAACATTCAGATCACGATTGATAAGCCTCTGACTAGTCTAAGGGAATAAGAGAGAAATCATAAGCTATTAATATCAGAAATGAAAGATGAAACATCAATATAAATCCCATGGGCCTTAAGGAAATTGAATCAATAATTAATAATCTTCCCAAACAGAAAACACCAGGCTCACATGGGTTCACTGACGAATTATACCAAAACATTTAAGGACAACGTTATACCAGTTCTCTATAATCTCTTTCAAAAGAGACGAACAGGGGCGCCTGGGTGGCTCAGTCGGTTAAGCGTCTGCCTTCGGCTCAGGTCATGGTCCCAGGGTCCTGGGATTGAGCTGCACATGGGGCTCCCTGCTCCGCAGGAATCCTTCTTCTCCCTCTCCTACTCCCTCTGCTTGTGTTCCCTCTCTCGCTGTGTCTCTCTCTCTGTCAAATAAATAAAATCTTTAAAAAAAGAGAGAGGAACAGAGGGAATCCTTCCTAATTAATTCTACGAGACCAACATTATCCTAATACCAAAACCAAACAAAGGCATTACAAGAAAAGAAAACTACAGACCATTATTTCTCATTTACATAGATGCAAAAATCCTCAACAAAATATTAGCAAATCAAATCCAACAATGTATAAAAAAACCAATGACCAAGTAGGATTTATCCTGAGTGTGCAAATCTGGTTCAACATTTGGAAATAAATAATTCATCACATCAACAAGCTAAAGAAGAAAACCACATGATCATATCAATAGATGCAGAAAAAGCATTTGGCAAAATTCAGCACCCATTCACAATAAAACTAAGTAAATTAGGAATAGAGGGGAGCTTCCTCAACTTGATAAAGATAAAGCCTATCTACAAAAGCTCTACATCTAACATCATATCTAATGGTGAAAAGCTCAAAGCTTTCCCACTAAGATCAGGAACAAGGCATGGAAGTCCCCTCACCACTGTTTTTCAGCATTGTACCAGAAGTCCTAGCTAATGCAATAAGGCAAGAACAGGAAATAAAAGGTATGCAGATTAGGAAGGGAGACACAAAACTGTCTTTGTTTGCAGAAAATATGATTGACCATCTATGTACAAAATCCAAAAGAATTGACCAAAAAATTCCTGGGACTCATAAGCGATTATAGCAAGGTTGCAGGGTACAAAGTTAATATGAAAAAGTCAGGGGATGCCTGGGTGGCTCAGCCAGTTAAGTGTCTGCCTTCAGCTCAGGTCATGATCCCAGGGTCCTGGGATTGAGTCCCACACTGGGCTCCCTGCTCAGGGGGGGAGCCTGCTTCTCCCTCTGCCTGCCTCTCTCCCTGCTTGTGCTCTCTCACCCCCTTTGACAAGTAAAGAAAATTTTTAAAAAAAAAAAATAGGAAAAATAATATATATATATATACACACAAAAGTCAGTTGCTTTTAATATACCAGAAAGGAACCATAAGGATTTGAAATTAAGGGGCACCTGGGTGGCTCAGTCGTTAAGCATCTGCCTTCGGCTCAGGCCATGATCCCAGGGTCCTGGGATTCAAGCCCCATGTTGGGCTCCCTGCTCAGTGGGGAATCTGCTTCTCCCTCTTCCCCTCACTCTGCTTGTGCTCTCACTCTCTCAAATAAATAAATAAAATCTTTAAAAAAAAAGATGTCATTTCTTCCCAACTTTATCTATTGATTCAGTGCAATGTGATTAAAAATCCCAGCAAGTTATTTTATTTTCAACACAATATTGGGGAAAGAGTGAAGAAGAAGAACCACGTTGGAGGATCAGCACCACTCAACTTTAAGACTTACTCTAAAGCTACAGTAATCAAGATAGTGTGGTGTTGGCAAAAGGGCAGACAGATAGATCAATGCAATAGAATAAAGAGCCCAGAAATAGACCCCCATAAATACAGTCAACCGATCTTTGACAAAGGAGCAAAGCAACACAATGGAGTAAAAATAGTCTTTTCAGCAAATGGTTCTGGAACAACTGGACATCCACATGCAAAAAAAAAAAAAAAAAAAGAAAGAGAATCTAGACCAGACATGGACCTTACATCTTTCACAAAAGTTAATTCAAAGTGGATCACAGATTTACATGTTAAATACAAAACTGTAAAACTCCCAGAAGATAACAGAAAATCTAGATGACCTTGGGTATGGAGATGACTTTTTAGGTACAACATCAAGTATGATCCGTAAAGAAATAGTTGATAAGCTGGGCTTCAATATAATTAAAAAGTCCTGCTTTGTGAAAGACATTGTCAAGAGAATAAAAAATCAAGCCATAGACTGGGAAAAGTATTTGCAAAAGATAATATTTGATAAAGGACTCCTAGCCAGAATATATAAAGAACTCTCAAAACTCAACAGTAAGAAAACAAGCAACCCAATTAAATGAGCCAAGGACAGTAATGGATACTTTCCCCAAGAAGAAATGCAGATGGCAAGTAAGCATGTGAAGAGATGTTCCACATCCTATGTCATTAGGGAATTGCAAATAAGTAAAATAATGAGATAACCACTACACACCCATTAGCTTTGCCGAAATCCAAAACATGACAACACCAAATGCTGTTGCAGATGTGCAGCAACAGGAACTCTTGTTCATTGCTGGTGGGAATGCAAACTCATATGGCCACTGTGGAAGGTAGTTCGGCAGTTTCTTGCAAAAGAAATCTGTTGTTACTATATGATCCAGCAGTCATGCTTCTTGCTATTTACTGAGGTGAAATCTTGAAATGAGGTAAAAACTTATGTCCACACAAAAGCCTGCACATGGATGTTTGTAGCAGCTTTATTCACAGTTGCCAACAATGAGAGCAACCAAGATGTCCTTCACTAGCTGAGTTGACAAATTGTGATCCAACCAGACAATGGAATATTATTCAGTGCTAGAAAGAAATGAGGTATCAAGCCATGAAAAGACAGGGGGAAGTCAAATGCATATTACTAAGTGAAAGAAGCCAATCTGAAAAGCCTACATACATTTGATTCCATCTATATGATATTCTGGAAAAGACAAAACCTTGGAGATAGTAAAAAAGATCAGTGGTTGCCAGGCATTGAGGGGAGGGATATGTAGGGCGGTGAAACTACTCTATAGTATAGAGTAATGTATCGTATGTAATAGGGGATATATGCCATCCATTTGTCCAAACCCATAGCGTGTACACCAAGAGTGAACCCTAATGTAGACTGTGGTCTTGGGTGATGATGTGGCCAGGTAGGTTCATCAGTTGGCACAAATGTGCCGCTCCAGTGGGAGACGTTGATAATAAGGAGGGCTGTTCATGTCGGGGGGCAGCAGGTACATGGGGAATCTGTATACTTTCTGCCCAGTTTTGCTGTGGATCTAAAATGCTCTAAATAATGAAGTCCATTTTAAAAAAGAGAGCGTTACTGCCTCACATAATTGAAAAGTCCAGGGCTAGCGCAGGCTTCAGTCACGGCTGGATTCAGGGGCTCAGGGATACCATTTTGATGCAGTCTTCATCTCTCAGCCCTGCTTTCTTTCTTCACTCCAACAGGGGAGCTCCAGGGGCTCCAGGCTCCATGATCCCTAGTATAAAAACAGAGGCTCTTTGCCACTAGGAAATGCCTGGGTAGGGCTCTTACTGTCTAGCTTGAGCCTGGGACTACCCCCGGAGTCAGGGAGGGAGACCCCCCTTCCCAAGAGGAAGACTGAGGTCTTGTTGCCAGAGGAAGGGAGACTAAGTTTTTGTCCTGCAAAAGCTATAGAGTAGATGATCAAGGCCCCTCCAACTCTAACATTGGATGCTTCCAGTTCCAGCTGCCGGGCTGGTTGGGGGCAGAAGACAGACTCTCTGCAGAAGGAGGCAGAGACAGTGTTTCAGCTGGGCTTCAGGGCTCCTACGGAATGGCCGCGGGAGGCTGAGAGGGTGCTGGGCATAGCGGGAACAAAGGTGGGTGTGTTTGGGGGCTGCTGAGAAGACCGGTTTGGCTGGACACTGGGTGTGTGGAGATTGGTCTGTGAAAGTATGTTGGGGCCAGACTGGGGCCTGCTGGGATCTGGGTCCTGCCCCCAGATTTCCCAGTCTCGCCTATACTGGTTCCTCTGGGTGTTAACATCTCAGAAGGGAACCTCCCTGGGGTGGGGTCCAGTTGGGGGGGGGGCGGTCTGTGTTTCCGGGTCTCTGATGCCCACCTCCCCCCCAGGCGTTCCTGGTGTATGCTGCCGGTGTCTACTCCAACATGGGCAACTACAAGTCCTTTGGCGACACCAAGTTTGTTCCCAACCTGCCCAAGGTGAGTTGAGGGAGGGCTGGGGAAGGTGAGGAATTTGGGGCCGGAGGGGTGGGAGTGGGGCCCTAAGTGGAACCTTGACCCTGTCACTGCCATGCCTGTCACATATAAAGGGAAAGCAGTGTTTCTTCCTGACTGTGCTGACCTGAGGGCATACAAGGGGAGAATGTATGAACTTAAGTGCTTGCGAAAATGGAGCCTGGTCATCTCATCACTGGGGATGGTGGAGAGGCCCGGGCATGGTGAGTCCCTCACTGGCACTGTGAGCTCAGGCCCATCTCAGGCAGAGGCCGCTCTTACACCCGGGCTCTCAGCACTCACACACACAAGTTGCCTGGCCGTCTTGTTGAAATGCAGCTTCTGACCAAACGGGTCTGCAGTGGGGCCTGAGGTTCAACATTTCTCAAGCAATACCGATGCTGCTAGTCCATCAGCCGCACTTTGAGCCAGGTCTTAGACTGCAGGAGAAGAGCTGGGGGGTGGGTGTAGAAGGTCCAGAAGACAGCCTTGGTCGGTGTAGCTGAGCCTATGGCCTCTTCCCCTGCAGGAGAAGCTGGAACGTGTGATCCTGGGGACTAAGGCGGCTCAGCAGCACCCGGAAGAAGTCCGGAGCCTCTGGCAGACCTGCAGGGAGCTCATGTTCTCTCTGGAGCCGAGGCTTCGACACCTTGGGCTGGGGAAAGAGGTGAGGCCCCCCAGCCTTACAGGAGAGTGGAGGGCATCCTTTGGAGTCACCTGGCATGGAGGGAAGGATACCGCATAAGGAGGCAGTGGGCTTCAGTTTTGTCATTTGTAAACTAGGAAGCAAGTTGGATGGAATGCTTTCTGGATGCCCTTCCGGTTCTGACAGCCTGCAGAAGGGAAGAAGAGAAGAGCTGAGAGCTCAAGGGAGCTGAGGAGGGGAAGATGGGAAAGGAGGGAGCCCAGGCTTCCCGCCCCTGGAGGCCCCTTGGCAGCCACGTGGTGTGAAGGACATGGCAAGCCTTCAGGGTGGGCCAGCCCGCAAAAGGGTGGAGCAGAGCTGCAGGAAGGCTGGGGATGGGCCTCTGTGTGTGATTTGTGTTACGGTTTTCTCCCCTGAGAAAGAGATGAGAGGGGGCAGGGTGGAGGCTGCTGGGAGGATAGTGCAGGAAGCCAGGGGCTGGGGGGAATGTGTCCTGACCTCGGCAGTTCCTCCTCCCATCTGTCCCTTTCCCCGACAGGGAATCACCACCTACTTCTCTGGGGATTGCACCATGGAAGATGCCAAACTGGCCCAAGACTTTCTGGACTCACAGGTTTGAGGGTTGGGGAACTTGGGACAGTGGGTTGACAGGGCCTCCTCGCCATTGGCACCCACTCCCGGATCTCAGCTTGGGTCCGGAGACACGGCGTCCTGGGCATTTGAAGCAGAAAAGACTTGGGAATCCTTGTCTAAGAGTTGGCCTGGCTCCAGCGAGGAGGACATTCCCACACGTGCCAGTGATGGAGCTGCCCCTGCCCGCCCCAGGCCGAAGGCCTTCGTGACAGCCTGAGGGCAGGACAGTGGAGACATCAGAGCTGCTCCAATTAGGTCCTGGAGTCCCTTATGGGGTTCACCTCCCAGCAACAGTTTCCACGTGCACTGCCTTGCGTAGCCCTGGGTCAGCTGACACAGTGGGGTCAGCACTCAGTAAACTTAGTGCTCAGCGTATAGAGCAGAGCGTCTCGGGGAGCCCGGCCTGGCCTGCCCACCTGCTCTCTCCCCATCACTGCGGACTCAGGCACGATACCCCAGACGCCCCAGCCTGCTTTGCCTCTGTACCTTCTCTCCCTGGTGTGAACCCGTTTCCCTCCTCCCACCTTGCGGCCCCCTCTGGACTTACTCTTCTTCCCCAAACCCCTGCCCTGGTCTTTTCCAGAACCTCAGTGCCTACAACACGCGACTCTTCAAGGGCGTCAGCCAGGATGGGAAGCCCTGCTACGAGGTGCGGCTGGCTTCTGTGCTTGGCATGGGTGAGCTGCTTCACACACCCCTTCTACTCCCTCCTCAGCACTCCTGGCCCCAGGGAGGGGGAGGGGGCCGGACTGAGGACGGGGGTTACTGGGCCCCGCAGGGAGGGACAGGCCTAATAGTTCCGGCACACGTTGACTGCAGACTTACTAGGCGCCGTGCTCCCTGCTGTGCTCTGCGTCCGGTGGTACCTAGGAGGGGGACACGAGCTGCAGGGCTGGCTGTGACAGTAAAGATACAGGGGGAGACATGAGAGCAGGGAGAGGGGTTCCATGCCACTTGGTGGATGTTACTGCCGCAAGCCTCTGACGGTCCCCATCCTTCAGGCAGTGGCACAAAAGATAACAATCCGTGTGAACAATGGGAACAGAGGCTGGGCCACCTGCCGCGTGGCAGGCTAGAAGAGAAATCCAAACTGCCCATCAGTGAAGGCTTAGTGGAAGAGGTGACCCGATGGGTCTTGGAGGTTCGGGAGAACATAGAAAGGGGGAGGTGGCGAACATACTATAGTCTGCTTTTTAAATATCTCTCAGAGTACCCTCAGGGTAAAGCCCAAATCCACCTCCGCGGGCTCTAGCGCTCAGAACTCTTCCCAGGTGAAGACTCTTGTACGTTTGCCTAAACCAGAAGGGAACTTAACCGGCTTGGGTAATTAAGAAGCCCGGAGTAGGATGGCTTCAAGCACAGCTGGACCCAGCTGCTCGGACCGTGTTTCGAGAGATTTCTCTCTGTGCCTGGGGTCCTCTCTCTCACTTCATCCATGGCGTGTTCCTCCCACACAGGCCCTGATAGACACCAGCCTGGCCACTCCAGCAGAAAGAGGGCCCCTTTCTCTCAGAAGTTTCTTCAATAAGGTCTGGGAGTGGCTCTAGTTTCTCTGTTTTGGGTCCCGTATTTATCTGTGAACCAATCCCTGTGGCCAAGGGACAGATAGATCTCTGATTGTCTGGACCCTGATCCCAAGCCTGCCTCAGAGCCGGGTGATGATGAGGTCAGCCCCTCCCATGCACCCGAATTGGAGGTGGGGAGAGGAGGATTCTCAGAGGAAAATTGGGGCCCAGACCCCTGTGAGGACCCTTGCAACCTGGCCCTCCCTTTTCCACTTGCCAGCCCCCAGCCCCATATCCCTGCCCGCCTCCCACTTAGACTCTGTGCCCCAGCCATACTTGGTAGTTTACTGAAAACCCCGTGCTGTCACATATGCCGTCCAGAACTTTGCACGGTCTGTCCCCTTTCCCACATCGAAGTCCTCCCTCTCGTCTACACATTCTCGTGATGAACACCTGCTCATCACCTTCTCCAGGACCCTGCCCTGTCCTTCCATGACTTTCTCTTTTCCCGGCAGCACACCCAGTAACTGCCCAGGCTTTTTTGTTGTTGCTGTTGACTGCCGGCTCCTCAAGAGGAGGAATTGTGTGTTTCACTGACCACTGTCTCCCCAGTGGCTAGCATTTGGTAGAAGCTCAGATCTTTGGTGTGGGGGTAGATGAAGATGGCACCCTCTGATGGAGGGAACGTGTGAGCCCCAGAGCATGGTGGAGGGAAAGTTTAGGGATTGGCACATTGTTGGATTTGACCGAGGAGAGAGAGGCTCTGGAGCCAGGCTGCCTGAGTGCACTTGGTGTGTTGTTATCTCTTGCTGTGTACAGATGACCCCCACATTTAGGGTTATAAGCCCACCTCTTCACGCTCACAGACTCTGCGGGTCAGGAATTGGGATGGGACACAATTGGAACAGCTTGTGCCTGGTGACAGTGTCCGAGGCCTCAGCTGGGGAGACTTGGAGGCTGGGGTGCCATCAGCAGCCAGGGGCTGGAATCACCTGCAGGCACACTCCCACGGCCGATGAAAGATGCTGGCTGTCAGCTGGGACCTCAGCAGGGGCTATGGGCCAGAACGCCTCACATGGCTTCTTCACATTGCCCATGTTGGCTGGCCTCCACCAGTGAGCGTCCCAAGAGAGCCACCTTGGGTGGCTTGGTGGACACCCCAAGAGAGCCACCTTGGGTGGCTTGGTGGACACCCCAAGAGAGCCATCTTGGGTGGACAAAAGCTGTGTCACCTTTTATGACCTGGCCTTGGCAGTCCCGTGGCATCACTTCTGCTAGAGTCACAAGCCTGCCCAGCGTCAGGAGGAGGGCCAAGAGCCCCCACTTCCTGATGGGGGATGTCACCTTGGGAGGTGGGAGACACTGCGTTTCTCTTTTTTCTTTTACAACATAACCTAGAAATATATCCTACTGCTCAGCGGCAACAAGCAAAACACAACAAATCACCACAAATGTAGTGGCATAAAATAACCTAAAGTTATTTTGTTACTGCTCTGGGGGTCCAAAGTCTGAAACAAGACTCCAGTTCCTTCTGGGACCTCCAGGGGGTGATTTGTTTCCTTGCCTCTCTCAGCTTCAGCTTCTAGAGGCTGCCTGCTTTCCTTGGCTCATGTCCCCTTCCCCCAACCCCCCCCCTCCAGCGTCTTCTCTCACCGTACCTCCTACTTCCTATTCACCCTCTCATCTCTTTATAAGGCTCCTTACATTTCGGGGTTGACTGTCTTTCTAAATACAGTTTGCCACCCTAGGTTTGGATCCTGCTGTGCCACTTGCTGCCCGTGTGATCTTTGGAAACTTACTTTACTTCTCTGTGCCTTAGTTTCCCCAACTGTAAAATGGAGATAACTCCCCCCAGAGTTGATGTGAGGCTTAAATGAGTTAACTATATACCTATTTTTTGAAAATGAAAGTTTATACTAATTTCTGTAGGCAGTGGGGAGTCATTGAAGATCTTAGAGTAAGAGTGTCATGGTGAGAAGCTTGCTGGGGTGTCTTACGCTAGCTTTTTCCCTGAGCGATCCTTCTTCCCTCAGAGCCTGCTCTGCATTCTGAAATGACTTCCAAGCTGAAGAGCTACGAATTCCGGGGGAGCCATTTCCAGGTGACTCGGGGGGACTACGCCCCTATCCTCCAGAAGGTGGTGGAGCACCTGGAGAAGGCCAAGGTAGGGCTGGCTGGGGGCTGAGGGGTGCAAGCTCCAGATCCCTCTGGACAGCAATGACAGGTGTTGGGACAGGTGGGTGGCCTGAGGCTGACCGACCCCTGCTCACCCCCAGGCGTATGCAGCCAACAGCCAGCAGGAACAGATGCTGGCTCAGTACATAGAAAGTTTCACCCAGGGCTCCATCGAGGCCCACAAGAGGGGCTCCCGCTTCTGGATACAGGACAAAGGCCCCATCGTGGAGAGGTGAGGCACCAGCCTTCGCCCCGGCTGCCCCCCTCCTGCCTGCCCCTCTTCCATCTCTGCCCTTTACTCCCCCAGTTACATCGGGTTCATCGAGAGCTACCGAGACCCCTTTGGTTCCCGTGGAGAGTTTGAAGGTAACTCCTGGGAGGAGGGGGGTCAGCTTGCAAACGCTTACCCCAGTATCCCCTGAAGGTTCTCCCCTCCCCCCCTTGGCAATAATACTACAAATAACCAGAACCAGTGTTGATGATTTACCAGGCACTGGGCACTTAGCTATAGGAGCTTGTTTGGACACTGTCCTGTGACAATTACTGTCCTCACTTTATGGAAGTGGTTATCGAGGCATAGTTGGTGAGTGGCTGAGCCTGGCACCTTGGCTCTGAGCCACTTTGCTGTGCTGTCTCATCCGGGCACAGGCTGTGGCCGTTCCGAGCCCGGCTTTGCCACTCACAGGCTGTGTGACCTCCCCAGCTGGGTAAACCCCATATCTGAGCATCGGTCACTCCCTTCTGGGTGTCGTGGGAAGTGAGGTATTATATGCCGGCTGCTCAACACAACACCAGGCACATAAAAGGTCCTGGGTAAATAGGAGCATAATTACCATCATGCCTGGGAACTTGACTTGGCTACTGTCATCCCAGGGCAGGTGGGAGGCCGCCTTGGCCCCCCATGCCTATATCCATACCCCCACCTGTTCGAGGCAGGGCATCCAGCCTGAGGATTTAGACTTCTGTGCCAGGCCTTATCCTCCCCAGCCCATGGGGATAGAGTCTGGAAAATCCAACTGCTAGAAGCCAGAGAAATTAGCTTGGGAGGAGAGAGGAAAGCCCCAACAGCTGGTGGGGGGCTTAGATCTGAGCCCAAAGATGCAGGCCCAGGGCACAGGTGGTACAGGGGCCAGAGGGGAGGACAGGTGTGCACACCTGCAGCTTCCCTGCCTGGGTCCTGATTCTCCAGGCCTTTCTGAGGGCCAGGACCCCAGACCATCCTAAGCGGCCTTGATCTCAGAGGTCCCCTCTTTACCTAACTCCTTGTAGTTATTAGAAAAGTAGTCCAGGGGCACCTGGCTGGCTCAGTCAGTAGAGCAGGTGACTCTTGATCTCAAGGTTGTGAGTTCGAGCCCCACATTGGGTATAGAGGTTACTTAAAAATAAAATCTTAAATAAATAAATAAATAAATAAAATCTTAAAAAAAGAGAGGAAAAGTAGTCCGTGTTCACAGTCACAAATTTTGGAAAACATACTAAAGAAATCATCTGTGATTCCTCCCACCTCAAGGTTAAAATTGGGAGTGTACATTGTGGGGGGGTTTTGTTTTTATTTATTTATTTTAAGATTTATCTATTTATTTATTTTAGAGATAGAGTGGAAGCAGAGGGAGGGGCAGAGGGAGAGAGAGAATCTACAAGCAGACTCCCAGGCTAAGCAGGGAGCCCGATGCGGGGCTTGATCCCAAGACCCTGAAATCATGACCTGACCTGAAACCAAGAGTTGGCCACACAACCGACTGAGCCACCCTGGCGCCCCTCTTTTTTATTTTTATATAGAGCTATAAATGCTTAAAAATGTGTGTGTGTGTGTGTGTGTGTGTGTGTGTGTGTGTGATTTAAAAAAATCCATGTTTGTTTTGAGTAATTGGAACAATACAGAAGTATGTAGGATAAAACGTGAAATTGGTCCCCTGTGACACTCCCCTCCAGAGGTCACCGCAGTTCACACAGTTGAGTGCAGGTCTTTCCAGAGCTTTGTTTAAGCACCCACACAAAACTTTTAATTTATCCAGGTAGGTGAGATTATGCTCTATGGATTGTTCTGCCACTTGCTTTCTTCACTGAATATTTTAAGTATGTTTTCATATCAATATGTATAGACCTACCATCTTCTTTTTATTTTTATTTATTTATTTTCTTAAATAGGCTCCATGCCCAATCTGGAGCTTGAACTCATGACCCTGAGATCAAGGGTCACATGCTCTACCGACTGAGCCAGCCAGACTCTCCCATGTTCTTTTTATTTTTTATTTTTTTATTTTTATTTTTTAAAAATTTTATTTATTTGTTGGAGAGAGAAAGAGAGCAAGAGAGCACAGAGGGAGAGAGAGAAACAGACTCCCCGCTGAGCAGGGAGCCTGATGCAGGGCTCGATCCCAAGACCCTGAGATCATGACCTGAGCCAAAGGCAGATGTTTAACCGACTGAGCCACCCAGGCACAGGCATGCCATCCCCCCTTGTTCTTTTTAATAGCTGCGTAATATTAGAATTTCCCATGACATCTGCTGTTGTACGACATGACTAACAGTTGCATGGCGTGCCATCATATACCTGCCCCCTAATTTATTTAAACAATCCCGGAGGTTGCTTTTTCTTCTTTGCTGTTTTAATCATCTTGTCTTCCTGACCTGCTATGCCAATTCCACCCGACACGGTGGCTCCAGACAGGGAAGCTTTGCCAGGTGTAACCCTTGGCCAAGTTAATCCATTCTTTGCAGGAGCCTGACCACACAGCAGTCTAGGCCAGGCCTTTGCAAGGCATAGCTCATGCAGGGTTCACAGGAATTACACCAAGAAGGGTTCAGTGCTAAGCAGTAAGGGGTCTTGCTTGCAGGACTCTTCAGTACCTCTAATATGCAAATGTACATTAAGAATCTCTAAGAAGTTAGGGATAGAGCATATAGTATTATCCAAACTTATTTGACCAGGAAGCTCTTTCTTTATGAAGGCTCTCATAGAAACTACATGTTACGGAGTGCAACTTTGGAAACAGCAACCGGAAGCTAGGATCTCCAACCGCATTAAACCTAAAAGGATCAGTCCCAGGCCTCCTGCATAGCAGCCTCAGTCACCACCTCTCAAGCCAGATGCTCGAGCCTTGCAGGACAGTTCAGTTGGCCCCAAAAGAACATGTTTTTTGCTCACGCAGTCCCTTCTATCGGGAATCTGATCTTCATCAGATAGGGTGCTCTCTGTGCTCCCCGCCATCCCCTTTAAGATCCATCTCAGGTGTTACCCAGCGAAGCCTTCTCTGTGTCTCACCCACCTCATGACCTCCATGAAGACGAGACCAGGCCTGGGTCCCTGTTCGCCCCACTGGCCCACAAAGGGTACTGCACACAGCAGACGTGTAGTGCCTGCATGATGGCCAGAGGGGTCCCGGAGTTGAGTGGGGTACGGGACCCCTCCCAAACCCCGCCAGCCCACCGCCCACTCTCTCCCTACAGGCTTTGTGGCCATGGTGAACAAGGCCATGAGTGCCAAGTTTGAGTGTCTGGTGGCAAGTGCAGAACAGCTGCTGAAGGAACTGCCCTGGCCCCCGGCCTTCGAGAAGGACAAGTTCCTCACCCCCGACTTCACCTCCCTGGATGTTCTCACCTTCTCTGGCTCTGGCATCCCTGCTGGCATCAACATCCCCAACTGTGAGCTTCCTCAAGCTGCAACAATGTCCCCTAAGAGTCGCCCCTCCCCCTGCACACAGTTGCCCTGGCCCCATGCCCCGCTCAGTTCTCCATCCCAGCCTGGTCCTCTTGTCTGGACTCCTTATCTGTGGCCCTTGATGTTTGCCCCTTCTCCCTGGTTCCCTCCCTACCTTCTCCAGATGACGACCTGAGGCAGACGGATGGCTTCAAGAATGTCTCACTGGGGAACGTGCTGGCTGTGGCCTATGCCACGCAGCGGGAGAAGCTGACCTTCCTGGAGGAGGAGGACAAGGTGGGCACCAGCAGCCCACGGGTTCGGGGCGGGCCTGGCCTGATGGCTGACACAAGAAGTCAGGGGGCCCAGTGCAGGGAGAGGAAAGAGCGCGGCAGCCGGCCTGGTGGCCCTGAGACTTGGCCTGTTCGCTCACCTGTCAAACTGTGGAGGCAGTCCCTTCCTCCAGGTTGGGATGGGATGGGCCAAGCGGGGGGCCCCCGTGGAGCCTGGCAGGAAGGCGGCCACAGGCCCTCGGTTCGGCAGCCGGGGCATCAGCAGGCCATGTGGCTGTGGTGGGGCCGTAGGCAGCATGGGCCTCTGCTTGTCTTGGCAGGACCTGTACATCCGCTGGAAGGGGCCCTCCTTTGATGTGCAGGTGGGACTGCATGAGCTGCTGGGCCATGGCAGCGGCAAGCTCTTCGTGCAGGTGAGAACTCGCCCGCAGCTCCCCTCCCCCATGATCAACCCCATCAGGGTGAAGCCGCTTCCGTCTTTGTCCTCACGGGCTTTGGATTAGGTGGGGAAAATGGCCCCTAAAGGAGGGAAGTTCCTATCTCACCCTCCCCCGAGATGTCCCAGGAGCCCCAAGGGTACAGGGTCCTCAGGACAGCCCAGCTGAGGTCTCCTTCACAGGAAGAGTGGCTTGGCTCAGGCCAAGGAAGCCTGCCCTGGAGGTGGGACTCAGACAGCCCAGGGACAGGGAGGCTGTGAGGCGCAGTCTGTGCAGGCTCCCAGTCCTGAGGCTGAAGCATGGTGTGTCTCTGGACTACTATTCCCTAGAACCTGTGCGTTTCCAGGCATTAACAGGGAGTGAGTCACTTCTTGTCAGCCCCTTCCTACCAGCCAATCAGAGTGGCTGGAGCCCCTGGGGCACCCACTCAGGGAATACAAAGAAGACAGACAGCCTTTCTGCCAGGCTGAGGAGAGCCCATGATGGACCCCTAGCACGGAGCTGCACAGATGAGATGACCGGCGGGGGGTGGGGGGTGGGGGGTAGGGCCAGGGCATCAGAGAGAGCGGGGTTCTGGTTTGGGTATGCTCCCTGTGAGGTGGGGCACGTCACTGAATCAGGAGGGGCTGGAGGTCAGGGCGATTCAGAGAGCAGCTAATGGGGGCAGCAGCCTGGCAAACTTTGTCCTTGTCCAAGCTTTGAAGTCACAGGGAAATGGGGACAAATGTGGCCACTCTGTGTCCTTGCACAAGTCAGTTCTCCTTACTGAACCTCAGTTGGCCCATCTGTGAAACAGGGACCCTGACTCCTACTATGGGCCATCATGAGGAATAAAAGCAAAGCCCTAGGGCTTGCCTGACACCGTAGGCCCTCTGGAAATGGGTTTACTGTAAAGAGATAGTGTGCGTGGAGGTTATGTGCTCTGATTCCCCGTTGGGGCTCATAGTCTCTGGACTTCATTTTCCTCCTCTGTGAAGTGGGGTAATAGAACCTTCCTGGGGGGAGGTGGTTGTGAGGAATAAATGGATGGAGCATGAAAGACACTTGGCATGTGGAGTGGATAGCGAGGCTGATGCTTATTGAAGGTATATGCTGCCAGCATGGGGAGAGGGGCTGGGAAGCGCATAGGGGAGCAGCATCCCACCTTCTAGCCCATCCACTGGCACATATCTGGGGTCCAGAGATCCTGGGTCTGGGTTTTCACGTGGCTGGGGGCTCTGAGAGGGCAGCCAGGGTCAGAGGACTCTGGTTTGGAGGCCGCAGCATGAGGATGGCGCTCAAATCCCCGGGCTGAAGTACTGGGCTGGGGCAGAGGCACCTTTCCCTCACTTGCCCTATGTCCTGACCCTTCTACAGGATGAGAAAGGAGCATTTAACTTTGACCAGGAGACAGTGATCAACCCAGAGACGGGGGAGCAGGTGAGGGCGGCCTCGGCGGAGCCCCCCGGGTGCTGGGGGGGCTGGGTATGCTGGGGTGGCAGCTACTCCTAAGCCTACTTCCCGGGCTTCCCCTCCCAGATTCAGAGCTGGTACCGGAGTGGGGAGACCTGGGACAGCAAGTTCAGCACCATCGCCTCTAGCTACGAAGAATGCCGGGCTGAAAGTGTGGGCCTCTACCTCTGCCTCAACCGCCAAGTTCTGGAGTACGGGCAGCAGGCATGGGGGGTGGGCCTCCCTTGTGGACAGAGGGCGTACTGGCGGGGGTCAGGACCCAGGCAGCCTCTGACTGCCCCTGCCACCTCCCTGTCCCTCCCCCAGGATCTTTGGCTTCGAGGGGGCCGATGCGGAAGACGTGATCTATGTGAACTGGCTCAACATGGTTCGGGCTGGGCTGCTTGCTCTGGAGTTTTATACCCCTGAGACCTCCAGCTGGAGACAGGTGGGAGCCAGCAGAGAGCCGGCAGGGGGAGGCCTGCAGGGGGGGCCAAGGTCAGGATTCTAGGTGTAAGGATGGGACAACCTTATCTACCTAAGAGGCACATGAAGTGGGTTTAATCCCAGACTCCACTGCTTATGGGGGTAAGTCACGCTGTTGTGAGCCTCAGTGTCCCTGACTGTGCAATGGGAATAATAATCTCCCTGCCCACCTCTGAGGGCGAAATCAGATGAGGTGATTTTATAGGACTGCTAATAGCTGACTTGCATCAGACTTAACTCTGCAACACACAGTTCTAAGCACTTTATTTGAATTAACTCTTTGTTCCCCTTGTCAACCCCAGGAGGTAGGTGCTATTATTACTCTCATTTTAGAGATGAGGAAATTGAGGCACAAAGACATTGAGTAACTTAGGATTCAAATCCAAGCAGTCTACCTCCAGAGCTGTTGGGCTAGGCTGCTCAGTTATGAGATGTACTTTGGAAATAGGGTAAACAACAGGAATGTTCTTAAAAGTCATACAAGTCTGTTTCGAGGACACAATCTTTTTTTTTTTTAAAGATTTATTTATTTATTTATTTGAGAGAGAGAGAATGAGAGATAGAGAGCATGAGAGGGAAGAGGGTCAGAGGGAGAAGCAGACTCCCTGCTGAGCAGGGAGCCCGATGTGGGACTCGATCCCGGGACTCCAGGATCATGACCTGAGTTGAAGGCAGTCGCTTAACCAACTGAGCCACCCAGGCGCCCGAGGACGCAATCTTATGTCATCAGAAGAATACATGTTTTAGAGTCAGGAAACTTAGGTCTGAGTCCTTGATCTCCCTTAACAGCTGTGTGACCCTGAGCAAGTCACTTCACCTCTCTGGGCCTCTTTTGTCATCTGTAAACTGGGGTTCATGATGCCCACTTGCTCCCACTGTTGAATGCAAACAAGATTGTAGAAGAGAAAGTGCTTGGTGACCTGGATTGTGGGGGACCCCTGGGGGTATCTGCTATCATCGGGTGGGGTCTGGAGCAGCAAAGGGCATGGTGGTTGGCAAGGGGGGTACATGGCTCTGGGACCTGCCTGGAAATGGCCTTCCTGTTTCCCAGGGCAGCCTGCCTTCCCTTATGAGCAGAGAGGGGAGGATACATTTAAGGGGAGAGGAATAGGCAGAAAAAGCCCCACAGGGGTGAGGGAGAATGAAGGGGTAAGAATAACTGACAATTAATGAGCACATACTGTATATCAGGCTTTGGACCAAGCTTTTGATATGTCGTATCTCAGGGATGTAAATAATTCCTTTCTTCTTGGCTCCTGCAGGCCCACATGCAGGCCCGGTTTGTGATCCTGAGGGTCTTGCTGGAGGCTGGCGAGGGACTCGTTACTGTCACTCCCACCACAGGCGCTGATGGGCGCCCAGATGCCCAGGTCCGCCTTGACCGCAACAAGATCCGGCCTGTGGGCAAGCCCGCCCTGGAGCGGTTCCTGAGGAAACTTCAGGTAAGCGGAACCCTCCTGCCTTCCAGCCTCACCCTGTCTCCTCCCCTCTAGTACTGCCTCGTAACCTTCTGATCATCCTTGTGTTTGTTGGTTTGTTCATTCATTCATTCATTCATTCATTTATCAGACAAGTGTGTATACTGAGTGTTACCATATGCCAGGCACTGAGCATAAGTTGTAAGCAGTTTCTTATGTTGTAGTGAACATGTAAACAATAAGCGAATGAGATGATTTCAAATCATGACCAGAGCTGTAAAGACAATAAAACTTGGTGATACGATAGCAAGTGAAATTGGAGGGAAAAGGAATGCAGAGCCTCCTTAGCCTGGGTGGTCAGGGAAGGCTTCTTGGAGGAGATGGCGTTTAAGCTGAAATTTGAGTGCCAGGCAGGAACCAGCTATGAGAAGGTCTGAGAGCAGAAGAAACAAAGCACAAAGTCTGGTTTGGGGACTGGACTGAGCTTTGTGGGTTGAGGGACAGAAGGAAGCCTGGAGCTTAGTAAGTGAAAGACAGTGGTCAGCGTGGCCTCGGCTTCCCTCCCACGTAGGGATGCTTAGAGTCGGGACTGTTTGGGGTTCTGATGTCAGCATTAACCAGCCGTGTACCTGGGGCAACATACTCTGCCTTGCTGGGCCTGACTTTTCTTATCTGTTAAATGGGATACATCGCCTGCCTCACCTGGCAAAAAGCAAATGACACGACATACTGAGCAAATAGAATGTTGTGATTCCAAGCCCATGTGACATTAAGTGTGGTCCATGGACTAGCAGCATCAGCATCACCCAGAAGCAGCCTACAAATGCAGATTCCTGGGCACCACCCCAGACCTGATTCAGAAATTGTGAGAGCAGGACCCAGGAATCTGCATGTTTACCTGCCTGCCAGGTGAGTCTGACATTCAGCAAAGTTTGAGAACCACTCAAGGCCCACTCTTCACTGCAGTACCTTCCAGTGGAACTGGGTCCTGCCAGCTTTTTCAACTGATAAAAGGCCCAGCCTTCAATTCAGCAAATACCTCCATGATTATACTCCCACCTATTTCCAGAAAGGATTTAAGGCACTTTTTAATAAAAGATATGTGTTTGGCCATTAAAATACAATAAAACTAGAAATTAAAAATCAGGGGCACCTGGGTGACTTGGTAGGTTGAGCATCTGCCTTCAGCTCAGGTCATGATCCCAGGGTCCCAGAATCGAGTCCCGCATCAGGCTCCCTGCTCGGTAGGGAGCCTGCTTCTCCCTTTCCTGCTCCCCCTGCTTGTGCTCACTCTCTCTCTCTCTCTCTGTCAAATAAATAAATAAAATCTTTAAAAAAAAAAAAAAAGAAAGAAATTAAAAAGCAGGGGCACCTGGGTGGCTCAGTCAGTTAAGCTTCTGCCTTCGGCTTAGGTCATGATTTCCAGGATCCTGGGATTGAGGCCCACGTTGGGCTCCCTGCTCAGCGGGAAGTCTGCTTCTGCCTCTCCCCCCCACTCATGTGCTCTCTCTCTCTTGCTATGCTCTCTCTCTCAGATAAATAAAATCTTTTTTTTTTTTTAAGATTTTATTTATTTGACAGAGAGAGACACAGGGAGAGAGGGAACACAAGCAGGAGGAGTGGGAGAGGGAGAAGCAGGCTTCCCGAGGAGCAGGGAGCCTGATGTGGGGCTCGATCCCAGGACCCTGGGACCATGGCCTGAGCCAAAGGCAGACACGTAACGACTGAGCCACCCAGGAGCCCCTCAGATAAATAAAATCTTAAAAAAAGAAATCAGTAGTGGTGCCTGGGTGGCTCAGTCGTTAAGCCTCTGCCTTTGGCTCAGGTCATGGTCCCAGGGTCCATGCTTCTCCCTCTCCCACTCCCCCTGCTTGTGTTCCCTCTCTCCCTATGTCTCTCTCTGTCAAACAAATAAATAAATAAAATCTTAAAAAAATCAGTAGGGGGCCTGGGGGGCTCAGTCGGTTAAGTGTCTGACTCTTGATTTCAGCTCAGTTCGTAATCTCAGGGTCCTGGGATCGAGCCCTGCATAGGGCTCTGCACTCGGCATGGAGTCTGCTGGAGATTCTCCCCCTCTCCCCTTTGCTCTGCTCCTCCCCCTGTCCATGCACACTCTATCTCTCTCAAATAAATAAATAAAATCTTAAAAAAAAAATCACTAGATGCAAAATGCAATATGGGTCTTAGATCTGGAATAGTAAAAAGGTCATTAATGGGACAACTAGTGAAATCTAAAAATGCCTAGAGTTTAGTTGATAGTAATGTACCAATTTTGTACAGCGTTAACTGGAGAAACTGGACAAGGGGCATAGGCAAACTCTCTGTTCTATCTTTGCAATTTTTCTATCTTGAATTATTCTAGTTTGTTAATGATAATAAGTCACTAGATGAAGGAATCAAATCTGCCAAATCCTAGTCCAGTATCGAACTGTGCCTGAGTAGTGAACAAGCACAGAATGTTCCATTCTAGGGAGTGAACCAGTTGGGTCTCTGTATGAGAGGAATCATTCAGCAGGACAGTCACCTCAGCAATAGCTTTTTTATAGAAGATACAGAATATGGAAGCGTTGTTGGTGTGGCTATTTGTCTTATCAGCCCCCTAGCCAAAGCCAAGAGCACAGCAATGAGACAGCAAGTAGCAAGTAGGGAAGGTGAAGGCAATTTCCACGAGGAGAGGCTTCTGCCAAGGTCACAAACACGGTCCATTTTGGCCCACCTTGTATTGTGAAAATTGGCAGGGTTGGGTATAAATCTGTATTTCTGGCTTCTTGGAAGGACTGGCATCAATAGGCTCAAATCCCATGTAAACAACTGGCTGAAACTGAGCAGCAGCCACCACATTTGGGCATTTGGGCATGGCATGACTCTCCAGTTGGCCAGCCTGCTCCCTATTATCTGTCCTGCCTCCCATTGGCATTGATGTTACCAGCTCTCTGGTTTAAGCTGGTGGGATCTAATGTGTCGGCTTGATGAATGTGTCTCCACTACTTTCTGTGTGCTCAGTACTATTGGGAAGAGAGAAAGAAGAGATGTTCTCTTTAACTGTCCCTCTGGAGGTCTCCCCCATCCCTTGAAGAATCCTTATAACCCTGGGTCTTACTTGGAGGGAGCCATAGTAGGAGTCCTACTTTGCCACCTTCAAATCAGTAGAGGTAAGGATCAGACCCACAAAATGTCAGATATTTGGAAAAGAACCAAACGGAACTCCCAGAAATAAACTGTAACACCACTGAAACTAAAAATAGGCAGGATAAACAGGTTTGAGATCCAGCTAAAGATAAAAGAAAATATACAGTATGTAGCACAGAGACCAAGATAGAAAATTTAAGAGAGGTGAAGAGTCGTGGGGGACAGTGTGGAAAAGTCTAAGGTATGTAAACAAAGCTCCAAATGAAAGGAGAGGGAGAAGGTAGGAAAAGGCATATATTAAAAGAGAAAATGGCTGAGAATTTCCTAGAGCTGATTAAAGGCCCAGTTCATAAATTCATCAAGTTTAAGAATTCAGGGAAGAGAAGGAAATTAAGTAGAAAATAGAAGGAGGAGGGGTGCCTGGGTCGTTCAGTTGGTTAAGCGACTGCCTCTTGATCTTAGCTCAGGTCTTGACCTTGGGGTTGTGAGTTCAAGCCCTATGTTGGGCTCCACACTGGGCAAGGAGCCTAACTTAAAAAAACAAAAAGAAAATAGAAGGAGGAAAATTACAAATATACTAGCGGACACATAGGAGCTGAAAGAGAAGTATAGAGAAGACCAAAAAGCCCAAAGTTGGTTTTTGAAAAGATAATAAAATCGACAAACATCTGACAAGATTTGTCAAGAAAAAAAGAGTGAAGGCACAAATAAGAGTAGAAACTTAAAGGGCACATAACTACAAATATAACAGTAATTTACGGCAATAAAATTCACAACTTTGGTGAACTGGACAACTCCTGAGAAAAATAAAACTTGTTAAAGTCCACTCATGAATAGATGACTTGACCAGTTTATAGCCATTATAGAAATTAAATCAGTGGGGGCAACTGGGTGGTTCAGTCGTTAAGTGTCTGTCTTCAGCTCAGGTCATGATCCCGGGGTCCTGGGATCAAGCCCTGCATTGGGCTCCCTGCTCGGCGGGAAGCCTGCTTCTCCCTCTCCCACTCCCCCTGCTTGTGTTCCCTCTCTCGCTGTGTCTCTGTCAAATAAATAAATACTTTAAAAAATAAAAAAAAATTAAATCAATGATCTAAAGTCTTCATACAAAAGATACTAAGCCTACAGAGTTTTATAGGTGAATCTTTCAGAATATTCAAGTAACAGATGGTATCAATTTTACATAAACTCTTCCAGGTAATAGAAGAAGAGAGAATATTCTCCACCTCATTTTATTATGCTAGTTTGACCTGGATACCAAAATCAAAGATAGTTCCAGAAAGGAAAATATAAATGCCAAAATTCTAAACAAAATCCTAGCAGACCAAATCCAGAACATACCAATGTGGGTTTATCCCAGAAATGCAAGGTTTATCTAACATTAGAAAATATATTTTTGAAAATAACCGTATTAACAGATTAAAAGAGAACAACCATGATCATCTCAATAGATTTTTGAAAAGCTCTTGAAAGTCATTTATATCCATTATGATAAAAACTTTTTTGAAAACTCAGAACTGAAAAGAACTTTTTTTTAAAGATTTATTTATTTGAGGGGCCCCTGGGTGGCTCAGCTGGTTAAGTGCTGGACTCTTAGTTTTGGCTCAGGTCCTGATCTCATGGTCCTGAGGGTGAACCCCTGCATCACAATCCACACTAAGTTTGGAGTCTGCTTAAGATTCTCTCTCCCTCTCCCTCTGCCCTTCCTGCTTGTGCTCACTCACTCTCTCTCTCTAAAATAAAATACATTGGACACCTGGGTGGCTCAGTCCGTTAAGTGGCTGCCTTCAGCTCAGGTCATGATCCCAGGGTCCTGGGATCGAGTCCCACATAGGGCTCCCTGCTCAGTGGGGAGTCTGCTTCTCCCTCTGCCTCTCTACCCATTTGTGCTTGCTCTC